AATTAGCTGGGCATGGTGATGGGTGCCTGTAATCGAAGCTACTCAGGAGGCTGAGGTTGCAGTGAGCCAAGATCGCACCATTGCACTCCAGCCTGGGCAACACTGTGAGACTCCATCTCAAAAAAAAAAACAAAGAAAAAGAAAAAGAAAAGACTTAGGACAAGCCAAGGACACCCATGCCTGCTGACTCCACTCCTGCACCACCCATCCCACTTCGGTCCTCACTTTGGCCTGGTCCCCTTTACCTGGGTCCGCTCCCATGGAGAGCCTTCACCTGGCTCTGCATCCTGGGTCCCACCCTCAACTGGCCCCTCCCTCACCTGGCCTCATCCCCAGACCCCCACCTTTGACCCCCACCTGGCCTCTGCAGGACTTCCTTGAGCCGTTTCTCACACTGGGCCTGAGCACGGTGCAGCAGGAAGATCTGTTCCTCTTTAGTCATGACGTCATCTGCATCCACCTGCCAAGCCGAAGGTCAGACCACAGGCAGGACTTTCCAGCGCAGCAGGTCCCAGAGCCATCCCAATTTCCCAGAGTGATTACCCTCTTTCAAAAGGCCCTGACTCTAGAGGGAAGGTGGGATTTCCCCCGCATGTGGGAAATCTGTTTTAGGGAGCTCCCACCTTACAGGTGGGAAGCTGTGGCTCTGAGGGATGGGGCCTGCCTGATCCAAGGGAAAAAGGAGGGAGCTGTCTCCTACAGCTGTTACCCGCCAGTAACCCTGTAGGCTGCAGTCACTGATACTCTCTGCCCAGCTCTTTCCCCAGGGGTTCATGGGACTGGAATGGAATGTCCCAGGATGGATCCACACAGGATCCTGGCTGCCTGCTGGGGACATGAGTGGGGGGCAGGGGTTGGATAAGGAGTCCTGAACTCTGGGGAGACAAACCCAGCCTGGATTCCTTCAAGTCCTGGCACCGTGGGGGGAGGCCTTGGGAGTCACCAATTTCCATCTTGGCCCAGGTCCCCAGTCAGCGCTTTCCCCAGTGAACGGTGAGTGCCTTAGCACCTCCCCTCCTTACAATCCCAAGAGGGAGAGGGTGGAGGAACTGCTGGCGTGTGGCCTGGGTTAGGCTGGGCACTCTGGTGCTGGCTGTGGGTGGGAGTCCCTCTCCACTGCTGATCTGGGAGCTCCCTCCATTCAAGTGGACTCTGAGTTCTGATGACACTCAGGCCCTCACTCATGCTGTTCTCTGCCTGGAATGTCCTTTCCCTTCCCTCCAACCTGCACACCATGGGCCCTGGCTGCCCCCACCGGGACTCACTGGTCTCGTTATAGGAAAGGACATGAAACATCATGGGGGTGGAGGCTCACTCTGAGCAGGTGGCTGCTGAGGGTTGTAAGCCTCTGACTTGGGAGGAAAGGAGCCGGGGTGAAGACACCATCCCGCCCCGCCCCGGGGAACTGCTAGGTGTGCCTGGCCCAGCCACTCCCATAAGTGTGACCCACAGGGGTTAAGGCAGACTCTGAAACCTCCCCAGGGCGGGGCTGTGAAGCCCTCAGCCCCATCCCCCTTAATTCAAGGCCGTGTTTCCTCAGACCCCTGGGCCTGTATTCTGAGATGGCCCCCTCCACCGGTCCCCCGAAAGGCTACGTCTCCTCAGCCCCACGGGGCAGAGCTGCATGCTTCAGACACGCCATGGCGGGGCTGGGGCTCTGCAGTCCAAGCGTGGCTGTGCAAGGCGGGAGGACTCGGAGGGGGCAGGGAAGGAAGGAGGCAGCCAGGGACGGGGTGGGCGGGCCGGGTCAGGGAGCCTGGCTGCAGGGAGAAGTTAATTGACCGCGTCTCTTGGCGGCAGCAGCGAGGGCTTCCAGGGCCAAGGAGTCTCCAATTGGCTCGGCCGGCCTCGGGTTCTGCTGGTTCCACTTAGCGGAGCCACATGCGCGTCCCTGCGCGTGCGCGAGTGTGGCCGGCGCGTGCACTCGTGTGTGCCCATCTGTGCGCGTTCTCACGCGGGCACTGTCCGGCATGTCAGTGTGGGACGCCAGATGGACGTATTTGTGAGCGTGCACGTGTACAGGTATTTTTGGGCATAAGGCAGCGCGTGCGCGTCTGTGAGTGAGGCGGCAGCTCCTTAGTGTTTGCGTCTGTGGGTGGCCAGTGGTTCTGTTGACTCTGGGGGCTGAGGTGGACCCTGAGATATCAGCTGGACCCCAGGAAGGGCTGGAACAGATCCCCACGTGCTGGCAGCTGGCCCCAGCTCCTCTATCCTAGTCTCTTTGACTCCACAGCTATGGCTGAGCCGGCTGGCGCAGAGGTAGACATAGAATGGTGGGGCTTAAGGAAGCACACCTTGGACTTGCCAGGATCCAGGGGCCTCCAACTAACCTGAAGCTCTCCCTTTGCCTCTGACATGGGGGATCCATGCTGCTGAGGGGCTGATCTCTGCCCCACTCCACTTACAGCATCCATTCAGTACCATTTCCATCGCTGCTACTAGTACCTCCATCAGTAACCATCGTTACCATCACTAACACCAACGCCAGCATACGGGTCCCTCCCAGTACTACCACCACCGCCGCTGGCATCACCGTTACCACCATGAGCACTACTGTAAGCATCAACATAACCACCATCACCACCCTCTGCACCATCACAACTGGTACAGCACCAGCACCACTGCCACCACCTCCAGCATCACCAAGGCAACATTAGCACCATCACCAATCTGCCACCTGCCCAGTGACTACCGTCTATACCACCTTTGCCATCTTGTTGTCTAACCCCTCCTCCCCACTACACTTCTCCTGCCATCTCCACCTCTCTAAAGACAAACCTATTTTGCCATATTTTCTCCAGCCGATGGAGAACTCTGGAGTGACTGACAGAGGCTCCCACCCATCCCTAGAGACTTGCTGACTCACCGGGCCTCCTAACAGACAGACCAGCCTACTGATGGGACTGGGGGGCACCCCTGATGGCCTAGACTACAGGCAGGCAGTCATGGGTTGAAAACTGACTGGCCGTTTGGCAGACTGATCACCGAAAGCTGATCAACACTCCCCTCCCCGGCTCAAGGAATTGGCTCAGCCTCTACATACTGCTGTTGGTTTCACCTCCCCCACAGCCAGGAGGAGGCACACTTCTTTTTCTGGAGTTGGGATGTTCAGGAGAGGGAAAGGTATGTGCTTCCAGCACGCATGGCTCCCACACTCCTTCATCCATCCACAGGGGTGGTGGCCCCACCTCTGGCCTCCCTGAACTTTAGGATCTGTTTCTCTGTTAGTCTACAACCATTGCAACAAGAATAACTCGGGTCAGAGTTAAGGAAGTACTTTCCTAAGGAACAACCCCACACCAAGTGCACTCCCCCCTCCAAACCTTAGCGCACAGCTCTGTGCCTGGAATGCCCTCACTCCTGTCCACTCTTCCCTCCAGCTATACCCTCTTCTCCAAGGAGATTCTGCCACCAGTCCCAGAGCATGAATCTCACCTCCAGCCTTGACTGGCTTCATGTCTGAGAAAGTTGCTTAACTCATGTGCCTCAGTTTTTCTGTAAAATCAGGGTAATCATAGGGCTGTTATTGGCCAGGTGCGGTGGCTCATGCCTATAATTCCAGCACTTTGGGAGGCCAAGGCAGGCGGATCACCTGAGGTTGGGAGTTTGAGACCAGCCTGATCAACATGGAGAAACCCTGTCTCTACTAAAAAATACAAAATTAGTGGGTGTGGTGGCACATGCCTGTAATCCCAGCTACTCGGGAGGCTGAAGTAGGAGAACCGTTTGAACCCAGGGGGCAGAGGTTTCCGTGAGCTGAGATCATACCATTGCACTCCAACCTGGGCAACAAGAGTGAAACTCCGTCTGAAAAAAAAGGGCTGTAGTGAAGATTAAATGAAGTACTGCACAACAAGCCTGCACAGGGGTGAAGCTCAGGAAAAGTTGGTTGCTTTTGTTGACACTGTGAGCAGCAGCAGCAAATCACACCCCTGCCATGTACCCCCTGCTGCCTGGTGACATGGGTGCCCCAGGCCAGGGATCAAAGACGGCAGGGGGAGATTGTCTGGGTCCATAGGACTGAGTCCAGGGGGTGACAGTGAGGGCCAGACGGGAGGTGGGACCCCAGGGAGGACTGGGGGCAGGGACTGCAGGAGGATCTGCCAGATAAGGTGTACCGGGCGAGCTTTTGGGATGGAAGGGTATCCCAATGACTCCTTGCATTTCTGGATCCACCCTGGACTTACATTAGGATTCAAGATTACTGCCAGAGCCCGCATGTTTGAGCTTAGAGGACGGGAAAATGGACCCCGTCCTCTGCCTCTGCCCTGGCTGAGGAGGCCTTATCTCCTGGGGATGAAGGGGAAAATGCTGACAGCTATAACTCATCTCAGCCTGGCATGCCCCCTGTCTGCTACTCTCTTCTCCCCAGCCCTCCAACTTCCACCCCCTTGATGAGCTCCTGTCTTCTTGGCCCAGCTCCAGGGTGCAGAGGACTCAGACCTGCATCCTCTTAGATCCAGCAGATCTGCAAATCTTGGGTTTCAGGGCTGAGGACTGATGGACTGGAGTTGGGCTATGGCCAGGGGTCACTTAGTCCATACCCACCACTGATATGAGCCACCCAGCCCTGCACCAGGTGGGCACTCCTCCTTTGGTCCTGAGAAAGGCTGACTTGCCTCCTCGGCCCAGCCATCACAGCGCTTGGTTTTAATCCCCCCCGACTGTAACACATCCTCTCCATGGTCAACAAGGAGCTTTACCCATGCCTTCTGCACCTTCTACCACATCCCCATTTTACAGACAGGGTCACTGAGGCCAAGAGTCACAGTTAGAAAAAGGAGGGCAAGGGATGGAGCTAAGATCCGCTTGACACTGAAGCAGCGGCCCTGGAAGAAGGGAAAGAAAAGAGGAAGTGCCCACCACATGGACACCCTGGCACCAGCCAGAACATCACCTTTCCACAGAGTCCTGGATTTGACCTGCTGCGTTAAGCAAGTATCCCTTTGCAGACCCTCTAAGGCAGCCTCCCCAAAGCTGATTCAGGAGGGGAGGTGGGTAGACATAAAGGTGACGGTGGTGCTGGTGCTGGTGATGGCAGCTTGTCCTCGACTGTAACTGGATAGAGGACAGCTGGGCCCTGGTGTTGGGAACAAGGCAGTTGATGCCTCTAGCACAGCCAGAAGGAGAAAACCCTGGCTAACAGGAGACCCCTTCATGACCTCCTGGCCTTCCTTCGGCCCTCCTCCAGGTTCTACTACTGGGACCCATGCTGGCACCCCTGGATGTCTACCGTGCCAGCTGGCTGGGACTGCTCCCCCACCCCTGCTGCCCTCTGTCTGTCCGGCTGGCCTGAGCAGGCTCCTCGTCCTGCCCCGCCACCGCTGACAAGTGCTGACTTTTCCTCCCCCTCACCAGGCCTTCCTGAACAGGCTGCCTGTGTTTGGGGCTGGGAGGGCCTGGGGGGGGGAAGAGGCACTGCGACGCCTCTCATCCTGGCCAGCCAGCGTGGCCGCCTTGGGGCAGGCAGTGGGATGTAGTCTGGGATAGCGGAGTTGGCTGCTAGGACCTGGTGGATCTTCACAAGCAGACCCTACCTGGGCTAAGGAATCAAGGCCCAGATGAACGGTATGGCCTAATCTAGCCATCGCCTGCTCAATAGAATGAGATCCCACTAGGTCTCACCTCGGGCACAAGACTGGCCCCAGAGTTGGGGCTTTTAAGGGTTTGAAGGTCTCTGATGTTTCTACAAACCTGAGCAAACGTTTGCGCCCTTCTTCCAGTCACACCATATTTTGCAGACAATTTCAGAGGGCTGCAAAACCCTCGCCCCACCTTTTCTTTTTCCTGAGGACTCTCCTTCTGAAATAGCTGCCTTCCTGATGTGGTGGCTGGACCCGGGAGTGTCCCCAGAAGGCCCACAACTGGAATCTGGGGGAGGCTACTTGACGCCTCATTAAAACATTCCGAAGAAAACCCAAGTTCCTGGGAGGGCTCGGCCCCTCCTACTGCTCTGTCCATAGGCCATTTCAAGAGCTGGGGGGAACGTGTTGAAAGGCAGGTGACATAAAAAGCGTCAACAAATCAATATGAAAAAGGCAAATAACCCATAGAAGTATGGTTAATGGCTCAGAGCAAGCTCTCTTAGAAGATGGATCATAAACCACGGTAAAGCCCAAAAGTCATTGGTAATCAGCAAATTAAAATGACAAGACACACCATTTTTCACCTATCCACACAAAGGTGAAACACAAAGAATCTTCATAACATCCTATGAGATAGTGGGCATGGGAGAGAGGCCCTCCTGGTCAGTCTTGGTGTTGTATAAGTACAAAAGAGCACAAGCTTTTTAGAGGGCAATTTGGTCATGCTATTAAAACAAAAAATGCATATCTCAGACCCAGCAATGACAAAATCTAGAAATATCCTACTAGGAAACAGTCACATGGAGTCGCCAGAGGGCATTTCAAGGAGCTTCCCTGCCACCATCCGGAATAACGCACACAGACACACATGCAAATTGTGCAGAAATGATCTAAATGTACATTCCTATGCACTACTTAATGAGTCCCAGGTTTTGGAATACTATGTAGCATTTAAAAAGATAGATTCATATTTATTGACATGAAGATCTCTAAGACACACCTTTAAGTCAAAATATATATGTGGCAGAGCCCTATCTAGAAACCGATGCCATTTATTTAAAAACAATCAACCAAGCAAATAGAAAACGACAAAATTCAACTATCTCCTTGATACGTACACAAAGAGGTACCATTCAGAAACACACAGAAAGAGGAAGGAGAATGCTCCTCTACTCAAACTGCTAAAAATGGTTTTCCCTGGAAGGGAATGGGCTTAGGAGTGATCAAGGAGGGCTGCTGTTTAATTTTTATTGATTGATTTAATTTTTTTTTTTTCAGAGACAGGGGCTGACTCTGTTGACCAGGCTGGAGTGAAGTGGCATCATCATAGTTCATTGCAGCCTTGAACTTCTGGGCTCAAGCGATTCTCCCTCCTCAGCCTCTCAAGTGTCTGGGATTACAGACTTGCTTGACTCTTTTATAAGAACATATTCATATATCAGTTATGAAGTTAAAAAAAAGAAAATAACAGAAGGATTTAATTTTTTTTTTTCTTGCAGAGTCTCACTCTGTCACCCAGGCTGGAGTGCAGCGGCATGATCTCAGCTCACGGCAACCTCCGCCTCCTGTGTTCAAGCAATTCTCCTGCCTCAGCTTTCCGAGAAGCTGGGATTACAGGCGCACACCACTGGGCCTGGCTAATTTTTGTATTTTTAGTAGAGACAGGGTTTCATCATGTTGGCCAGGCTGGTCTCAAACTCCTGACCTCAGGTGATCTGCCTGCCTCAGCCTCCCAAAGTGTTGGGATTACAGGCGTGAGCCACTGCACCTTGGCCAGGATTTAATTTTTAAAAAAGAAAGAAAAAGAAAGAGAGAAAACCCAGAGTGAGACATGACTATCTCCTGCCAGCAGCAAATCTCATGCTGCTTTCAGGAAGGAATTCAGTGCAAAGGTCTAAAGACCTGGGTTCAAATCCTGCTGTGCCACCGACTCACTGTGTGACTCTCAGGGCCCTTTCCCATAAAAGTGGCTGGGCGAGGGCGCGGCGGCTCATGCCTGTAATCCCAGCACTTTGGGAGGCTTAGGCGGGTAGATCACAAGGTCAGGAGATTGAGACCATCCTGGGCAACACGGTGAAACCCTGTCTCTACTAAAAACACAAAAAAATTAGCTGGGCGTGGTGGCACACGCCTGTAGTCCCAGCTACTCAGGAGGCTGAGGCAGGAGAATCACTTGAATCTAGTAGATGGAGATTGCAGTGAACTGAGATTGTACCACTGCACTACAGCCTGGGACACAGTGCAAGACTCAGTCTCAAAACCAAACAAAAATGGCTGGGCGAATGGATGAAATGAGAAACCAGTTTGTGACAGTTTTATCTCAGAATTTAGGGACAGCCAGTGTTCTGTACATGTTGGTTTCTTTCTGTCTTTAAAAGCAAGCAACATGGCCGCGCTGCCCCCGGCGCAGGCTAGAAAAGGTCCTACACGCTCCCAGCCCGTGTGTCCTCACCAGTCTCTTGTGAGTCTACTCAGCAGTCACATCTCCACACGCAAGGCCTGCCCCACGCTGAAGCTGAGCTCCAGCTTCTCTCATTGCAGCTTCTCCCCTATGTGTGTATATGCTGGGGGTGTCCTTAGGAGGAGGCACCCCAAGGACAAGAACACCCCTTTGCCTCCTACTCACAATCCGTGGGTCCATTTCTTTCTCCAACCCCCACCCGCCGCAAGACCCCCAGGTTTCTAGGTAACTCTCTCCTGTGTGGCAGAAGATGGACCAGCTGAGTCTGCCCACCAGTGTCCTCCCCATGGGATGCTCTTTGGACCCCAAATGTGAGGTCACTGGAGATGTGAGCCTGGTCCTGGGACCAGCTTGGCAGGTAGCATACAGGTTTGGTGACTGGCTGTGAGATAAGGTTGATGGGCCTGAAGGGCATAGGTGCAGCTCTAAAGGGGCGGGGGGGAGTAGCCCTTGGGCTCAGGAGAGGGAGCTGGCAGGCTGCCAGCTTCTTGCTGGCTCCAGATGAGTTCAGGGGGCCCGTAGGATATTGGATGGGTGAGTAGGCTGCTGCCGTCCTTCAGTCCCAATCTTCCAGCCCTGAAGCCAGGGAGTGTCCAGTGAACTTACATGCCCCAACAAGGTCCTAGGCAGACCCAGCACTAGCATCTCTCCCTTTACCCTCAGACATGGGCCAGGGCAAAGCCAGGAAGATTCTCTGCAGATACCTCAGCTCCCCTGGAGAGCAGTGGGGCTCTGGGTACCCATACTCCCCCCACACAGGGGCAGCTCAGCCATGTGGCTTGCTTTTAAAGACAGGAAGAAACCAACATGTACAGAACAGCGGCTGTCCCCAGATTCTGAGATAGAAACTGTCACAAATTGTTTTCTCATTTCATCCATTCGCCCAAAGAGGCACAGGGCTTGGCTCTGGGTTGGCATGAGATAAATAACGGTCACTGTGGTTGTGTGATTCGGGCCAGTTAAAAATGCGGACAATAACCTTCTTCTGAGGGTGGCTGGGAAGATTAGACTAGCTAATATATGTGAAGTGCTTAGAACAATGGCAAGTAGAAAGCCCTACAGAAGCATTTATGAAATACACATAAGAAAACAATAGGCCGGGCGCACAGGCGCTCACAAAGGCACACACAAACACAACTGTGGGCCTCCGAGTCATGCACCCACAGCTACAGACACATGAACTCACGCAGGGACTCAGACACTCACAATCACACAGACCCAGATAAACACCATGCCCAGAGTCCCACAGAGCCCTGCTGTGACATACAGACTTACTCTCAGGACACCCACACTCATCACCCTGTCTACCCCTCACACCGTCAAATGCATGCATATGTGTGCACACACCGAACTCCTGGGGAGGTGGGGGGCGGCTCTATCCCCTGGCATTCTCCAGTGTTTGGAGTGTCTCTGCAGAGGGTGTTGAGCTCCTCTGAACCTCAGTTTCCCCATCCACAAGGCCTTGTATGGGGCTATCTTTGGTGGGAAGCCTTTGCTGGGGCCAGAATTGTGGAGGCGTAGGCACAGGTAAGTGGTAGGTGCTGAGGACCACAGAGGAAGGAAGAGCCTCTGATGATGTGATTCTCAGGCAGATGTTTCTTCCAGGTCCTCTTTTTAGAGATGGGGCAACTGAGGCATGGAGAAGGACAGCCCAGGCTTACACAGGCATCCTGCAGAGGTGGAGGAATCCTAGGCTCCTGCCTCCCGCCTGGAGCTCTGCACTGTATAGGGAGCTGCTGATAGGAGGAGGAGGCTGCCTGCCTACCCTGCTCCCCAGCAGGCAGCTGCTCCCACTGGGGAGCTGGGAGAAGGGGCTTTGAAGTTAGGCATGCAGGCAGACAGCCTCCTCAGGAACGGGCTGGTCCCTTGGGACAGGGCTGCTATGGGATAGGACTGAGGGGCTGGGACAACCCCCTTCCCAGAAAGTGGCCCCTAGACCCTGGCCCAGGGGGTGGAGGTGCTGCCCACTCTGTGTCTCCAGCTCTCTGCCTCCAGCTGTCTCTTGCTATTTTTCTTTGCTGTTCTTGCTCTGTTCACCCCTCCAGCTCCTGGGATCTCTCCTCCCCACCCTGCTTTGTCTCTGTCTCTCCTCTCCCCCTACCCTTCCCTACCATTCTGCCTTTAGGTCTCCACTCTCAGGGAGCAACAGTCTTCCCAGGGGTCTCCTCACTTCCTGAAAGGGTATGCTGTGCTTCTCCTACAGGGGTGCACTGTGAGGTCAGTCTCCTTCAGGAACCTCCATCCCTCCACCATGCCACACCACACCCACCTCCTCAGGCAAACAGCTTCTACTCTGGCTGAAGTCAGACATATGCGCAAGTGTGTGTGTATGTGTGTGTGTGAGGGCTGGAGGGGGCCCCTAAATCCTACCCCAGGCCTGGATGATTCTGACCTCAAACCTACATTCTCTATGTCCGGGATTGCAAAAAAACTTGCAGAAAACAGAGGTCCTCAAAGCAAAGTCTGTGGGAGTACTAGCAGGGCCAAAGCCCAGCCTTCTGCTGGGTCACACTGTCATCTTCCAGGGAGAAACAGCCATGGTGCTCACAGAGGCAGAGGATGGGGAAACCTCAACCACAAATTTCCAGATCTGGGACTCCAAATGAGGCTTCAGAAATAGGTACGCTTCAGGCAGCTGGAACCCGAAGTTCAGACATCCCAGAGACAGCAGGCACCCAGGATCCTGGATCAGAGGGGACTCTCACCCAACGTTCGAACTGCAGGGGGAACTCAAGACTGCGTGCCCTAGACCTATCCCGAGGACTCCAGGGTAAGCACGCATCCCGTCCCGGAGTGTAGGCTGCGGGGGACTCACCAGCGCGTACGCGGAGCTGAGCACCGGGCAGCAGAGCAGGAGCGCCAGGCCGGGTGCGATCCGGGCGGCCCCCATCGCCACCGCCTAGGGCCGCGTCCCTCGGGGCAGCCGCCGCCGCCGGCCCTGGTGGTGGTAGGGGGTGCAAAGCTGCGTCAGGCTGGCCGCCCCGCCCACGCCCCGGCCTAGGGGACCCCGGCGTCCGGGCGGCCCGAGGCCCCGGGGCCCGGCGCGGGGCCCATGCGCTGAGGGCGATCGAGCCAGCGAGCAGCGCAAAGGAGGGAGGGAGGGACGGGAGGAAGGGAGGGAGAGCCGGAGGCCCGGCGGGCGGCGGGCGGGCGCCGATCGCTGCGGAGCGGCCCGTCTGCCTCCGAGCGGAGAAATCACATCCATATGGCCGGGCCCCCCGCCCCCCTCCCCCGGCCCGCCCCCCGCCCCCCTCCCGCGCCGCCTTTTCTTTCTTTCTTTTTTTTTTTCTTTTGGGGAAGTGGGAGCTGTGGCTTCGCCCCACGCCCAGTGGGGGGAGGGGTCGGGGTCGCGGTCTGCGGGGGGCGCACAGGACTGTTATTTTTAGCTCCGCGGCTTTTGCCCGTAGTGAGTCCGGGCCGGGCAGGGGGCGCGTTCTGAGCCGCACAGGGCGTGCAGCTAGGGGACGCGATCCCAACTTTGCAGCCACACTGAACCCTTGGGTGTTCCGGCCGCCAGCCCCCGGCCGCTCGGCCTCCCGAGACCCAGCCCCTCGGCAGCCGCCTCCCACACCCCTTCCCCATCTTCTGCCCGAGCCCCGCTTGCGCCAGTGCGGCTCTGGCGCGCCAGCGGCCCCGATGCTCTGTCGGTCTGCCTGTCTGTCAGTCCGTCTCTAGCTCCCCCGGCCTTGGCCTCAGTTCTTCCAGCAGCCCCAAGCTCCGTTTCGGTCACTCCCTCGCTCCCTCCCTCCCACTTCTCTCTCTACGAAAACATTTGCAAGTTTCCAAAAAAGCCACCGAGCCGAGCGGCGCGGAGCTGGCGGCTCCCCTGGGTTCCGAGGAGGCGCCGCCGACTGACACCGAGACAGAGCAGCCTGGCTGCCCCGGCCAGGCCCGGAGTCGCTCCTCCCCGACTCCCGCCACTTCCCCTCGGCGCGGGTCCCCAGCCCCGACTTACTCCGAGCGCGCCGCCGCGGCCCCCGCCTTGCCATGGATGTCGGGGTCCCCCCGACAGCCTCCCCAAGCC